AAGTTTGCTAAAACCTGATGTCATATGTAAGTGAGATTTTAAAAAGAGATGATCATTTTTATTTTAAAATGTAGCCAGTATTTAAAATAATCACAGAAATGACACTTTCAAAATACATGTGGACTGCAGAAGGGCTGAGTAGTTGATATCATCTTGGCATCCTGGTTCCCACAACCTGAGGTATGAATTAAAATTTTAAAAATTTACCTACAAAAGGCTATATATTTCTGTTTGAATTTGCACAAAAGATTTCTAGACATATATCACAAGAAATGTAGTGGTTGCTTCTAGGAAGTGAGACCGGCAGGTATTTCATATCTTTCTATACTGTTGAACTATTTCTATTTTTTTTACCATGTGCTTATATTATGTATAAAATCGTTTAAAACACTAGTTCCAAAATAGACAGTAACTTGATTTTAATCCTCTGGCTATGTTATCCTTGACAATTACCCAACCTCTCTGAGCTCATTTCACCATCTATAAAATGGAGATACTATCTACCTCATAATGCAAACATGGAGATTAACTCAGACAACGTACATTAAGCAAGTAATACAGTGCACAAAACAGGTATTCAATGTACGTCACCTCCCCTTAACACCAAGAAACCCTGGAAATCCTCTTAATTCAACCTCCTCTTCTTATTAGTAAGAACACTAAAGCCAAAAAGGCTTAGGACCTTGCCCAAGGTCAATCAAGTAGTAACCAGGAGAGCCAGGTTCTGATGCCTGGCTTCTTGTGCCCTAATATAAAAAATGATTTCATATGAGCCAAGGAATGACCCTATTACTACCTTATGGACACATCTCACTATGCGGTACCAGCCTCCTCCTCTGCTTTGCTCATCAGACTTAACAAATGCTAATTTTTCCTAAACACAAAGTCTATCATAAACTGAGGGGGCCCTATCTGAGAAGGAAGCCCCAAAGGAGAGCTCTAAGAATGTCTTGATCAAAGGCAGCACTAACCTCACAAGAGAGCAGTGGATGTGTTTTTAAAAATTGTTCACATCTTACTGCAGCCCTGTGACTCAGATACCTATTTGTGTGCACGTGTATGTGTGTGTGCACATGAGTGGGCACATGTGCACATGCACGTGCACACACACACACACGTGCGCGCGCGCACACACACACACACACACACACACTCTAACTTTCAGCCCTCTGGCATGAATACAGCACCCACACTGACTTATAGTTGAGAATTTAAACAAATTTTGTTGAATGAGAAAATCTATGTAAGAATATTGTTTAACAAATGCCCATTCTTTAGCAATCTGTGTTTAAGCAAGATGTTCTCCTTTCAGTGATATTTATACATAAGCCATATGGGGCATAGTATCCCAACTAAAATGGAATGACTTTCAAAATGCTTTGTTAAAAATTTGGCGGTGGCTGATCATTTCTTTTTCTTTTTGGATGATTTCCTTAGAAACAAAGCTTTCTGACTGTTAGGGCTTAGATTACAGTATACTTGCCTCCTTTCCTAATTTCATTCAAAGAGTTGGTCCATCAAGAACAAAGGGCAAAGTGTCTTAAATGCCTACAGGAATGAAATCCTGGGTCCTACTAAAGGGAGAGGTCAAAGGAAGAGATGCTGAAAATGATAAAACAGCACATCAGTCTGTTTGGAACAGTGATGGATAGTGTACAATGATGGATTATTAGATAAGGAGTACAGACAACAAAGCCTTTGAAGGAGTGTGAGAGGGTGATAAATGGAGCCGTGAACAATCTAAGACATTTCCCCCTTTCCATATTAATACCCTACATCTACTTGGAATTTCATAGCTCCAAGTTCTTTCACACAAATTACTGTGGCAGACAGTTCACCACTCATTAACAGCCCTCTATCCCATCTTGATCTTGTCCCAGTGGCCATGGCTCAGCCCAGGGGATGAACATGACTGGTCCAAATCAGTGGTTCTCAACTTTGGCTGTACAGTACAGTCACCTGGGGGAGCTTTTATAACATCCCAATTCTTGGACCCAACCTCAGACCAATTACATCAGAATTTCCGAAGGTGGAGCTCAGGTCCTGATATTAAAAACAGGTGAATATAATGTGGTTTAAGCCAATCAGGACGATCACAGTCCTCTTCACCAATTTTGGGGCTAGGGCAGGCCATGTGACCCAGTCAGTTCTAGCCAGTGAGACGAAAAAGGAAGTTGGCTTGGAGTAGGGAGTTCTGGGAAAGGTTTTATAACGAGATTAAAGGAAAGAGAGACAAATAAGGGAAAATTCCTCTACTCCTTACTTGTTAACCAGATTCCTTCCCTTCTACATTTTACAGTCCTGAGCAGTTGTGTGAGGAAGTGATGCTTGTGGCTGTGGCTACCATCTTGTGACAGTGGGAAGATAAGCTGGGGAATGAACTCCAAGATGTAAAAGATGGAAAAGGCCTGGATCCTTGGTGACTTGGTTCAGGGTGCCAAAGTCCCTACCCAGCCCTTAAAGAAGTGTACTAACTCCCTCCCTACCAAATCTTGGTTGTCAGGTATGAACCATCCAGAAGTTACTTGGATCAATTCATGTGCAGCCTCTTTTCACTGCTGATCTGAAGGCATACTCAGATGTCTTGTGTGAAGGACAGCCATGGAAAGGATGGCTGTAGGATCATTGGTTTTCTTGTGTAGGTGCTCTTGGCAGCTTTGAGATATTTTAGTGATTTCTTCAGTGGTTGGAACATATTAGTAATAGAACTAAGTGTGTCTCCCACCCCAGACTAACCTCTAAGCCTGGCCAGGGAGCCATAGGTGCTGCTAGGAGATGCTAAGGGGGTCCAGGTAAGAGTGTGTCATAATGGAGAGATTCTGACCTCTGGGGTTGAACACCAATGCTGCTCCACCTTCACCAGCCAGGTGTGACTTCAGGCAAATTACTTGACTTCTATGGGTCTCAGATACCTCATTTATAAAATCGATACTATGTCAAAATAATGATATATGTAGAATGTCTAACTCAATGTATGGCACATGAGCATCCATTTCCTTCACTTCCCCTCCTAGAGTGTGACTGACTTTTAGTAACTCATCAGTGGATCAATCATGCTATCTTTCTAGGAACCAGGAATACAAGCATTTTAGTAAATCCACTGGTTGGTGGTGACATGGTAAGAGCCCAATAATTCCAGCAGAAATGTGAGAGGAAGGGCTTAGTCACCAAAGTACGGAAAAGCCTAAAGCTGGCTTCCAGATGTCCCTGCATCCCTGCAAAGGAAGCTCCA